AGAATTCGGGAAGCTGTCTTGTTTTGTTTTTCAGCAGTGAGCATTTCAACAGTAGAGGTCAAGTGAGACATACCTTTTCCTACAGCAAGGACTCTCCGAGGCTTGTGAAATGGAAAATTGTGGAGAGGGATTTTTTTGTTTGTTTTACTATTTTTCTAACGAGCAACAGGAGAAACTTTGCAATAACCTGCACGTAACCTTACTGGAAGAGGAGTTGAATTCAGTTATAAACATCTTCCTTGTTTATTTTAGTCTAGTGGCTTTTAAAATGTTTGTGGGATCACGGAGAGGAATGTGTTCAGTAAGTTATACAGCTGCTCAAGTAGTCTTCCAGATATCTTAATTTCGAAATTAGTGCGGCGATTCGCATACAAATTAATAACACTGACATCTCGGTAGAAAAAGCTCATCCCATGCAGTATCAATAGACATGGCTATACTAGCACCACTTGAAATTGTAAGAAATTTTGATAAAAGAAAAGTCCACTTAAAAAGTGGTTTGAATGGTGGTAATACCCACAGCTCTGGGTAATCTTGCATCACTTGAAGGGAGAGAGGAAATTTAGAAACTGAGATCAAAATAATTAACTGCCACCTTTTGGCTGCAGTGCTACAAAGATTCAGTAATCACTGGGCACTGACCTACAGCTACTTTCCTTTTACATATGTATTTCGAGGAGACCAAAAAAAAACCCAAAACCATTAAACCGATTTAGGCTACCAGCGCTGGCTTATTGACCAATGCCTGGCTTAATAACGCCACCTGTTCTGCCTAATGTAATTAGAAAAACAACCAGCAAAAGCAGACAGCTGAAAGAAAAAAATCTTTGCGTGTCAGACCGATGCAAAACTGAAAGAGCAAGAACTGTAAGCATAGGCAAAAATATAGCAAAAACTATAAGCTACAGGGCAACCAGGACAGTTAAGATCTCTTTTTGCTGCCCTATACAACGACTAGCAAATTCTGAGGCTGCTGCGGGAGCACTTTGGATGGCTTTCTTTACACAGGGTATGACAACTTTTCCTCGCCTGTGTAAGCATTAGGATCTTTGGCTTTCCCTCTTCCTGCGTTTTCAGTGCACGGACCTTACATGCACAAAAATCAAACCAGGAGATTCAAGAAGAAGAAATCTTTGATAGGAGCTGCCTGTTTTCCGCTCTCCGAGTCAAGCAGAGGATTTGCGCAGCTCGGCTAGTTTGCTTGGCGTTTTATTTCTGGTAGTTGCGGCGAGCCGGGACCGCGCGCGGTGCCCATGCCCACGCTGGGGCAGGAAAACGCTCCGGAGACAGCGCGCCGTGGGGGCTGCCTTGCGCTGACATTGTTGTCAGCAGAAACGCACCGAGTCCCTTGTCTGGACTTCTGAAGCCCGGTGGCTTCTCTTGCCCTTAGCACCACGGGGAACCAAACCGTGACTCTCCCCAACCAGAACCGCCTCATAATGCCCATTTGTCACTAGCAATCTGCTTAAAAAATAAACCTGCAGACACCCTCGCCGCCCCCCCGCCCCCAGAAACGGACAAGTATTTCCTACGTAATTGTGTCATCCTAAAGAATGCAAGTTAAATTTCAGCCTCCTCTCCCTAAATAATAGCAACCTGCTTGCCGTGCAGCCAGATTTCAAATTGTTTTGCGGGTTATCTTGCTTTCTGCTTCTGAGTGGCTTCGTTATGTTTCCAGGAATAATTGAGTGGCAATTAATTACATTCTTCCGACTAGGTGAGGGAAAATAAAGAAAGCAGAAAGTAGCTAGAAAGCTTAAAATCTGGCCGCATCGCCAGTTCTCCTTCTCTCGGCATGACAAACAGCACTTCCCCACGGTGGTATTAAAAATCTACGGATCGTCTGACAGAAAAAAAGAAAATGAATCCCCTGCGCATGCAGCATCTTTTGGCAAAAACCAATTGAAAACTGCTTCTCCGACCTGCTGGAGGATGCTCACACGATCTGCAGCAACCCAAAGCTCTCTTCGTGAACGGCAGCCGAAAGCGAACGCTCTACTCGAAGGAAAAGCAATGACGCGTCGAGTGAGGGGAGCTAACTCGGGGCTCAGCGTCGCCTTCTCCTTGGGCTACGGACTCGCCGAGAGGGACTAACAAACACCTGGCCGACTACGCCGCCCCGTATCTGAACCGCAGACAAGAGACAAGAGTTTGCAAGCGCGGCCGCTCAAGCAAAGGCGATACGCTCCCTCGCTAGGGGTTTCTTCGCTGTTGTGAAGTTACCTCTGAAGCCCGGCTAAGGCAGCCGAGCTCCCGACGCTACCGACAGCTCTGAAAGGCTCTCTCCCCGTCAGCCCGAGGGCAGCGCGCTGTACGGCCGCCCGGTGCTGTTTAGCATCGTTCACAGGTTAGGAAAAAACAGCCTCGGAGTAGCTAACAACCAGGCGGCTTGATGCTCCTCGCAGCGGCAGCACCTCCCTGGAAGGAAGGACAAAACTACCACGGGCTCGGCTATTTTTCGGCCGCGCTGTCGGCACGCACCGTGCAAATTTGAAGGGGTCAGCAGAGCCGCAAAGCCAGAGCTCGCTCTTAGAGAACAGGAGCGGCTTAAACGCCCGTTTCGCAAGCTGACTTTGTCCAAGCGGCGCGACACAAAGAGCTGTATTTGTCAGGGAGCTACGGTTCCCTGTCCATCGCACCTTGAACAGCTGTAGTGAGTGAGCCGGGCTCTGACGGGCAGTCGAGACCTGTACTCTGAATCACGACAGCCCACTGCTTGTTCAGTGCACAGAGCTGATGCTCCCCTCATCTCTCTCTCTCTCTTTTTTTTTTTAAACGTTTTGACACTAGTCCTGAAAAGGAAGGATTTAAGTTAAACCCCTTTCAACAAGGCAAATGTGTTTTTGCAATTAAAGCCACACAATTAGCATTGACAAGCTCAGGTCAGCAGAACATAGATTATGCTTTCAAATGCTTTGCCACTGAGTGCCTCCAGCAAAAAGCTGCTGGAGAGGAGAGGAGAAAAAAATCTCCACCCCTTATTTAACAACTTGCGCTGTGATGCGGCGCACCACTTGTGGATTTGCGGAGGAAGGTGGATTTATTTATTTGCTTAAAATCCCTTTGGCCCCGGCCTCGTTCCTCCCTGGTTCTAGCCCTTCAAGACAACAAACAACACTCTTCAGGCAAACACGAGAAAATTGGCAACATTTAGCCGCGTTAAGGTCTCAGTCAAAAGCAAAAGAAAAAGCTTCCAAACAAACAAATAAAAAAGGCTCAAAATCCTTGCCTTGAAAATGTTTCCCCTGATCCTTCGCAAAAGCAGGTATTTGCTTAAGATCTCACTCACTCAGCCACTCTTACTGCCTGCAAATAGAAGCCGCAGATTTCTCACTCCGTACGATGATACAAGTAAGTTCTCAGCAACCAGTTTTTTAATCTAATTTCAGGCAGATCTTCAGACTAGCTGTTTTGTTGGCTATTAAGAGCTGACCATTCATTCGCTAGTCTTCTTTCTGTGAATACACATTGCTTGATAATTTATCTGGCAGCTTGCAAGACTGCATACGAGGAACATAAGCCTTAAGATTTTTCCACACATGATTAATATTAAGCAAGTGACTAAAAATTAAACCACAGGCTAGTTCCAGGCATAAGGCTGCTTTCATAGGCAATAATTTATGTAATAGGACTGTAAATCAACAATAAAAATTAAAATTCTGCAATAAGTGATTGATTTTAAATTAATAATGCTGTTTTAAAGGCAGAAATAGTTCATATACAAAAATATATATATATATATCTCACATACCCAGAAAGCTAAGTGTAATGTAACAGAATTTCTCTCTTAGTAATTTTTGTATTTAGTTTTTTTCCCAAAAATCTCTTTATTTAATATGAAAGTTTGCACCTGTAGATCTTTTAACATCAACTTGATGACTCCCTTTCCTCTGTGACTAGACAGAAATATCCATACATTGTAAAAACAGGTGGCACCATAGAAAAATGTAAACATACCGACCACTTCACCAGCACAGTTCATGACCTTCACCTACTAAATGCAGCGCTAATTCTGCACTTGAGATCTCATCCCATTTCTACATCACCCTCTCAACAAAGCCTGGATTTCATTCCCATAAATTATGAACTCTGTGACTGAAAATTTCTAAGTGCCACGTATATATTTATGTCTTCATTTAAACGACAGTAGTACCAAGTACTCTGGAACTGATCTGCGCCACCTGATTCTACTGTTCCTATGTCTGCACCACTCTCTCGATTTCAACGGCTATGCGAGATCCACTTACGGGCCCTGCGCTTAGAAATAAGGTGTGACACAGCGTGGTCAAAGTTCATCTAAAGCTATGGACAAGTATTGATATGTAACTCTAAAACACCATATTTACATTTGTTTCCAGCTGTACGTGAGGTCAGAAGCGCTGGAAATCCCAGGACAGCAATGGTATGTCTTGTTGCCTTTCCCTGGGTCAAGTTTATTCCTTATGCAGGGCAAGAGAATTCCCATAAGGGACTGGGAAATCCCAGCATGGACTTCCCAAGTCAGAAAAGTCATATGTCTTGCTATGACACTAAATGCTAACACAGGGATTCTTAAAAAAAAAAAAAAAGTTAAATGTCTGTCCAATGCCCCTTAAAATTTAACCTTGTATTTAGTAACATTTTCACTGTACTGCTTCAGGGCAGAAAATCAAGGATCCCCTCCTGCTACCACCAACAGCACACATATGCTTACATATATTCACACACACACACACAATTTTCTTCCCCTGCCAAGGCAGTTGTGACATGAAACCAAGTGATTAGCTGAGGACTTGTATCCAGAGGAAAATGTATCTTTTAAACACTGTTTAATTTACAAGGTGCTTCCTTATGCCTCCTTTTAAACAGAAAATGAAAAAACAGCACACACACACACTTCAGCACGCTTTAGTCTACAGGTGAGGTGAAGGAACTGACTTGTAGGTTCAGTTGCACCAAGGAGAAATGAATTTGTGTGGAATATATAATGAAAATGCAGATATACAGATGACATTTCTTACCGTGTCCCCAGGCTTGACAGAAACTGCCACCGCTGTTCCAGGCATGGGAGATCTCAAAATGTTGGAGGTGTCCTCAGCTGCTTTCTCTGGCATGTACTTGCTCAGCTCTGCAGCAACCTTCGTCAGTATTTGTAATTTGTACTAAAGAATAGGAAGAGGAATGTTTTAGGACATGGCATCTTTGTGAATTCCAGCAAAAAACCTGCATTATTTTGTGGCATGTTTTGATATAATACATGTTAGCTGCTCTCTACAGGAGTGTCCAAAATATCACTTTTCGATTTGAAATCCTGGTTCAGAATTTAGTGGATAGAACGAAAAATAGGCAACCTCAAGCAGCATCAGTGAGTACGTAAGGGGACAGACTCAAGTACAGTAACAAATGTTGCAGTAATTTAAAAATCGGGACAGAGAGGGGGGAGAAAAGTTTCTTAAAAATGCATGTTATTTTTAGTAGATAAGGAATAGCTTAAGTATTCAATTCTATTGCTGTATCAAATTAAGAGTTTTCCCAAATATTTGGGAAATATTTGGGCAGATTTTCAATGACATGACCTCATTTAAAACACTACTTTTACCATTTTTAAACATTTACTTTTATCATTTACTTAATGTTCAAAGCAAATACTTTGTTTAGATTTTGCAATTAGAACATATTAAACAGTTTCGCTTCCATTTTTTTCACGCACAAGCGGAACGATGGCACGTTTTGGTTGGATCGAATAAATTTCATTTGTTATAAAAATTGTTCGGCAGCTGTTACCTACCTTTGGGGGAAAAAAATGTTTTCTCTCTTACGTTTTGTAGCATTTAAAAAAATGGGAAAGAACACGAGGAACTTCAGCTGTCCCTTTTGACGGCATCCCTTTCAAACCGCAGCCCTTCCGAAAACCTGGCAGCGTGTACACTAATTTCACTTCCAGGCTTTTAGGTTTTAAAAACTTGCAGTCACTTTGACGGCTAAGTCACTGCGTTTGGAGAGACGGCCGCCAACTTTGTCCCAGCGCACTTGAAACTGAGGGCGAAACTCCAGCAGATGGCAGCAGGTCTCTGCGTGAAACCCCGTCCTCGCCAAGGCCGCCCCAGTGAAGACCAGCACCACACTTCATCAATAATTTAAACAAAGGTTTTAATAATAAGCGGCGGATGAACTGCATTTACAATGCAAATGTGTATTTGGATGATGTAAAGTTCAACACCTTGCTTTGAACAGTATGTTTTCTTCCCAAACAATTAGCTATTGTTTTATTAGCAATAGAACGTCTTTACTTTCCGTTTTCACATAGACAGAACAGATCAGATATCCTTATGGTGAAGGTAAAGGGGGACTCTACCTTCTGCTTCTGTAGAGAGTACAACAAGGCATTTAGAAATACATTTGAAAGGGCGAATGACCTCTGCAGTGAAATCTTTAAAAAGCAGCTTTCAAAACCAAATTAAACCTGAGGATTTTCATCGTACATAAATGGTGTTTGGACACACTAAATATGTGCAATGATCAGTGTAGCCATTGGGTTAGAAAATTTGGTTCTCATCAGAAATACAAGTAAATGGTTACATTATAAACCAAAAAAAAAACTCCACCAAATACAATAATGTGCCACAAAAATGTTTTCTGAAGCTGTAAGCGGCACCCACAGATTTCAATACTCATTCCCAAACACACGTGTCTTGGTTACGACTGATGTGTGCCAGCACCATTTTGTACGCAAAAAACGGCTTTAACTCAAAGCCTCCCGCAGGCTTCATGATGTCAATTAAGAGTGAGGCGCTCCCATTTTCCAAAAAAAAAAATACAGTTACTTATCTGCACAAATACCTACATTCAATAAGGTGCGCTTCTCACAGCTTCTTTTTCCGAAGTGCGTGTGTGTGTGTGTGTGTGTGCGCGCACGCACACACGTGCAAGTATGGTGTAGGGAGGAGGGAGATGATGCCTATAGGAGATTCGATGACATAAGTTGCAAAGAGAACTGCAGCAATGTGACAGGTCAAATAATAACATCTTTTGCATGTTTCTCTACTCTTGAGTGTCTGTTTTGCAATCAAGACATACAAGTGTCTGCCAGTTTCTGAAGGATATGATCCTTAAGTGAAATTACTGTGCAAATAAAAGCTTTCTACTCCTATTAAAATTCGTCTGAGTCATAAGTGGCAAGGAAAAAAAGCTTGCAGAGTGTATTCTGCTGTCAATCTAATAAACATTCTGTGCAGAGGGACTATTTATCAAAGATAAATTGTACTTAAAAGTCCTTCATTAAATCTATGGGGGGGAATATAATTACACCAAATTGCACAGTTTCAGTATCCATGGTTAGTGTCTTCTTTGTGCTCAGAGTTTGAAAATAAAAAAACACACACACACACAAGGCAGAAAATAGAAATAAGTTAGATCTGTCGACTGTATTGCTGCCGCATGCAGGAGACTATTTTGATATGATTTTGCAGGATCAGGTTTAGATGCCAGTTAATTTTCTAAGCCACATATATGTATAGACCAACACTTCTGAGCTGTTTGATTTCAAAATTTAAACAGCAAGTGAAAGATATATATCTTCGGCATTCATCTAGGTTACAGTATTTCGCAGGGACTGAAATACGTAATTCTCCCTGCACACCACAACTTAGAGCACTGGGGAAAAGCCATGTCCCTGAGTAGTCTGCACTTTAAAGCTCAGTTCTCCACACCAAGCTACAATATCCCTACCAAACATTGTTTTTACTATCTTTATAATTTTCATATCTTTTAGATTCCTTTCTCTGCAGGACTCCTGCTTTGCTTGGAGTGAGATGTAAGAGTCAGTACACTCAAAGCTTTAAAATGCAGGTCTTTGTTACTGATGAGCTGTTCCTTTTCCTTTTGTATTTGTTTATTGTTCTTCAGTCTGTTTGGGGGATAAGCAAGTTATTCTAATCAAAAAGTAAAAAATAACAACAGTAAACTTCCCAGGAAAGGCCTTTTTTGGCACAGTGGGTTCACAAATGACCTTTCGGAATATAAAAAGACAAAGCAGCAAAGAAAGGTTCCTTCTTTAAGATTATCTTTGATGTACTTCTGCTGTTGACTGGACCCCACTAAACTCCCACAGAAGCGTTCCTTTGTAAAGCTCTTTCTTAGCCCTCAGCAATGAGCTTTACAGGGGGGTGCAGGGGAGCTGCTCACCTAACTGGGCTGGAGCGTGCTGCTCACTGAGAAGACCAACTCCAACAGTGCCTACCCATGCCTCTAAAACAAAGACGTTTAAGAGCATACCATTGTTTTTTCATTACACGATGAACACTGCTGTTATGCCTTTGATTTATTAAGTGAGCACAAATCCTTATACACGAAGTAGAAGTTTTTATACGCTACTTACGGAGTGTGGATGGGGTTTGGGTTTTGGGGTGTGGGGTTTGGGTTTTTTTGTTTTTTTTTTTTTTTTCCTGAGGAGGAGGAGGAGGAAGAGGGAGAAAGAAGGGGCGTAAATTGGGAAAGGCTGTAAAGTTTGGATTATAAATGGAGACCAGAAGGTTTCCACTGGCCTAAAACAGAAGAAACATCTGTTGGAGTCATAAATAGATTGCGGGTGGACTCTAAAGCCATGAAATCTGCTAGTGATCAGATCTGAGCTGATGAGCAGTTGTCACCGGCCACTGCTCCCCTCTGCAGGGTTGCAGAGCCTATTCTGCCAGCCCAAGGAAAGTTAATAAAGAAGTACCTGAAAGGAGCCATACAGTGTTTGATGGCACAGAAAACAGGTGTTTCTTTTTCACAAGACTGTTGGAGTCGACAATCGGTAGACAAAAATAATAGTAGGGCAAGGGGACGTTTTTTTGCCTTAGTGTAACAGTATCCTGTCCTAACTCTCCTGGTAAATGAATCTGATGTTTATGTAATGCAAAACGACCTCTCACAAGCAAATCACTGTGACAAGAAAATAGAAGAAAAAGAAAGAAGTGTAATAATAGCAGTGCAAAGGAATAAGGAAAAAAGAAGAATACAGAAGGCAATGTATCAGTGATTATACCTTGGAGTTTTTTGATTTTTTGTGTATCCATACAATGTACTAATCTCCCACATAAGCATACAAGAAGAGAGAAAAATAGTTGCTATTGAAAAGGCAGCCAGGGCATATCTGAAACCTATCTTCACTTAAAAACAAGTTCTGTAATCAGAATAGATATGGTTCCCTCGCCATGTACAACAAAACATCGCATACTTTTAGTCAAATGCTCAAAACTACACTCTGTTGAATCTCACATTGGTTTATTAAGTATGATCTTCCCTGTGCACCTGAAAACTCATGTTCCCAGGAGCTGTAAATGTTCAAGCTCCATTGGAGATTTTACAGAGCAATCTAATGTATCAATACCCATATGTTACTTATGGAGTTGTTTGGATTGCTGACCAGATGTGGATTTTCAGTAAGCTTTACCTCACGTTCAGCCACGTTTTTAAAACCTCCGCCATTCTTGTGGTCAGAAGGATGAAAATCTTACATAGCTCAGACCTGAGCAGAGAAACTGCTGTGCGTCCTAATTATTTTCACTAAGTTTACAGTGTCACTTTCAGAATCAAGGAACTTTACTAACTGTGCTCATGTAATTTCCCTTTAACGTTCCTAATCGGCATCCTCTCTCAAGTCACTCAACTGTTGTCACTTGCAGTTTGACCGTCATAGATTCATATGCTATTTGGTATTCACTCAAGGCAACACGAAGCAGTGCTCCAGTGCTGAATACAATCAGCATGCTGCCTCTTTTATTAACAGTTATACATTTTAACATAGTGAGCATAGCCTCACTTAGATTTCCACCATGACATCTAAACAGGAAAATTATGTATTTATTCCATATTACTTGAAGGTGTCAAGCGTCGTCTTCTTTCAGAGCCAAGGATCTCTTGCTCAACAAGGAGATACATGACATTTAGTAAATCACGGAGGAGGTCTCTTCCCGAGCTCTGAGTCCTAGAGACAATTTCCTTCCACTGGGCAGTGGTGAGGGCTGCCACCCGCTCTCTCTCCACAAAACACCAGCGTCTTTAGTCCGACGGAGGGGCAACCTCAAGACAAAGACACTCGACACACCACGAAGACAGCAAAATAATAATAAGAACGATAATAAAAAAGCCACAAAAATCATCAGCCTTCACCAGCCGC